CTTAAGAATTTTTAAGAAAAAATAAAGGTCGTAACAGAAAATTCTATAAATATAATTGGTTAAAGGGAAACAAATTCAAATATTCATAACTCGATTTTAATAGCAAACCTCGAATTCTCCCACAAATGTTACACGATGAACGATTATATAGAACATTTTGATCATCATGGAAAAACTCTTGCTTGTTTGCACGGTCTTCTGATTATCTGTATTACCAACAATTATTATTTTTAGTTACAAAATTGTTTTTCACATAAAAATCAACTTTTCTCACTTGTTTTCTGTTTTTCTGTTTAGAAAAGGAATAACCCTTCATCAGTAATATAATTTTTGAAAATAAAAATATTGTAAAATTTCTTAAAGATAATTCCTTGGTCCCTTTTAATATTAAAGGATTGAAAGAATATATCCTATTTCAACTTGAACCTTAGGTTTTCGAAACCTATCATTATATATATTCATGATATTGACAACAACAGTAACAAAAGGGAAAGAAATACGGACGCTGATGAATGATAAGCTTCTGATTGAACTTCTGGATGACCTCACAGACCCACAGAATGATGATGTACATATACAGAACGTTTTGCTGGAACGATGTCTCAATGCATCTAGATCGGAACTGGAGGAGTTCGTTGCCGAGTTGCGCAACTCTTGTATATATATTCCAACCTTGAAAATCTTCACTTCTCGCCTCTGCGATGAACCTTTACGTTTCAATTCTCAGGCAAAGTTGAATGTCACAATTCGCAATCTTGCCTCGCTGTTACTCACCGATGTCGTCATGCAGAACCTGAATCATTCCGATACTCCTGGATTTGGAGAGCTTCTTCATAACTGCATCGAACTTCTCTGGAAATTTCGGGAAAATAATCCTGGCTCTTTGACCGATAATAAAGGAAACAATGGGCTCAATTTATTCTTTCACACGATAAAAATAATTTTCAAAGCAATCCTAGACGCACGTGTCCTAGGAATTTTGGTAACTTCCCCTCCAGGTCGCCGTTGTATCAAGCGCATTTTGTTCGATTTCAGAATGATCAACCAAATTGAACAAGAACAACTTCTTAGTTCAGTGGACATAGTCGCGTCTCTTGTGGAAAAATGCTCTGAACACAAGGAAGTCTCGCCTCGTCAGGAAGAGGGATTTTCTGCGTATAAGGCCTGCACAGCATTGTTAGAAACTCTAAAGAGTCATCAAACTGCGGAAAAAATTTCGCTGAGTAACAGGAAAAACTCATTGCCACCCATGTTGCATGATATGGTTAAGTTTGATAATAAGGAATCTAGGTCTCAACATTGGAACAGGAAGCGAGCAGCCACTAGCGCCAACATTCACTCAACGAACTCAGTGTCCATGTCTATTAAAGATGAACAGTACCTCAATCTATTGGGGATGTCGGTACCTCAAAAGCCAACTGATGTGCACAACTTATTGCGAGAACTTGAAAAACGGAAAATGGATTTATTTCAGGTAAATTTCTCAGTTTTGATCCAAATGAGTTTTAATGTTTACTTCCATTATTGATATTTTGGTGAATTGATATATCAAAACATCTCTTAGGATTTATTGGGATTCTTACCATGCGCACATTGCCATAAACGAGCCCTTATTTCTTTTTTCCCCGACAAATATTTTTCGGAGGAAGAATCAGAAGATAATGAAACAACATCACGACCACCTGAACGCCTTTTTCGCCTTCCATTCGAATTTGATGATAATGACAAGCTTGGACCATGGGATATCCTGCTTAGTGAAGACACAATCAGAGATATGCGACATTTGGAATCGCCTCTTGTTATTAAGGCAATTATGAAGAAACTTGGACAGATATCATCTGGGAAATGGTACGAACTGCAACGTAAGGTGGAAACTCACAATATTCCTGTATTTGAAGTAGAACTCCCTGATAAAAGTGGTTTGAAGATTCTCTGGCAGGTTGACTATGGGTTCTCTGTTCGTAGCTATTCACTCATGCAACTTGTTAAGGTTTGGGCTGTTACTACCGATCAGGAACAAATTAACAAAACATTAGAAAACCTCTCGATAGTTCATCAGGTTTATACTTCCAAGCACAGTCGTTTGTGTACAGTCGAAAAAGTGGGCAAGGATGATGTAATTTTACCGATGTCCCTTGACAGTGAAGAGATAAAGTCTTCTGAAGACAATTTGCACAGCTCACAGATTGATGATGAGAAGTTGCTTGATGTTCATAAAATGCTAGTTACAAATAAGTTTGTTCCCTTATCAACGGTAAAGTATGCATGATATAGTATCGTTAAGATATAAGATTTATTTTAATAGATGTTATAATATTCTTGCTCGCAGAACTTGTACAAATCGCTAGTCTTGGGTGGTTTTGATTTTACTTTCCAAGTATCCAAGAAAGAGTACGAAATCATCAACAATCCTTCATCAGCAATCATAATTGGTCGATCAGGTTAGCAGTGTAGTTTAAGAAGAAACTTTAGCATTAATTATTTTTATTTACGTATCTAATATCTAGGGACTGGCAAGACTACGTGCATCGTCTTTAGACAGATCGCTTCATTCTTAAATAGCCAGCTCTATAAGACGCCATCCTCTCTTGATAACAATGGGGATTTTTACAAAAGACAGATATTTATTACGGTTAGTCACAACCTGTGCCGCCGGGTAAAGGAATATTTTAACAGACTGCAAGAGTCTGCAGAACTTGCTGGAAAAAAGATGTCTACGGAGCAATTTCATGAGTATATTAGGAAAAAGGAGGAGGAAGGAGGTGATGTTGAATTAACCAACCATATAATGCTAGAAGAAGGAGATGAGGAACAGGAGTTTAAAGGCATTCCAGATTCTTTCCGCGATCTGAAGGATCATCATTTCCCATTGTTTATTACTTACGATAAGTTCTCTAAAATGCTTCAGAAAACTTATGATATTGACGTTCGAAAGTTAACCAAACAACAAAAGCCAGATTACGCTGGTTCAAATGAGGATATTGATGAGGAATTATATCGAACATCCTTTGTTGACACAACCGAGTCATCATGGGCTCATTTTGTGAACTATGATCTTTTTCATAAAAAATATTGGCCTCGCTTCAATGATTATAGTCGGAAACTGGATTGCGAACTAGTTTACGCCGAGTTTTCTATAATTAAGGTATATAATTATATATTCTTCATCTTGAATTAGTGAGAGTGGAATTGTAAATTCAATGTGCGATCGAGTTGTTTTTTTTTTTGAGCAATATACGAATTTGTTTCCCTTTAACCAATTATATTTATAGAATTTTCTGTTACGACCTTTATTTTTTCTTAAAAATTCTTAAG